CGGTTCCAAGGCCGCCTGGGCGCCGGGGTCAGGGCGGGGCCCCGCAGGGACACCTCGGGGACCGCGCGCCCCTCCCAGGAGGCTCTGCCGGGCACCCGCCCTCGCTGCGGTGGGACTTACTGGGCTCGTCCGGAATCAGGGAGAGCTTCCCGGAGGAGGTGGTTTCCACATCGGGGGGTGGAGGCCGGGGGCAGGGGGCAGGAGGCAGGAGAGGGCGCTGGGTGAGCCCCGGAGAGCCCCTCGCGGTGGGCTCCCTCCCCGCGCGCCACCTCCGGGGGTCCACCTCCGGGGGTCCACCTGCGGGGGTCCACCTCCGGGGGCCCACCTCCAGCCCGGGAGGGCAGGACCGCGGGGCCTCCCAGGCAGTGGCTGCCTCGTAGGTTAACAAGAACTACTTGTGGGTTGAAAGAGGGCTGCTGCCCCCCTCTCCCCGTGTCCAGCCGTTGACCGCCTCCTGCTCAGCTCTCCACCACCCGCTCTGCCCAGTTTGGGTCCGACCCTCCACTTGCCTGCTCCACCTGCGCGGGCGCTGCCTCCGGCTGGGGCTCCTGCAGGCCGTTTAGGTGAAGACTGCCCTCCTGCCCCTCTCAGCACAGTCGGAGTTTGGTGTCCCTGGACCTGCAGTGTCCTGCCTTTCCCGTCCTCTCCAGACCCCTTCTTCTCACTGACCCTGTGAAGCCTCCTGGGGCCCAGCCTGAGAGAGGCCCCTACACCCCCACTCTCCCAGTCACTGGGGCCCTGTGGGCACCAGGATGGATCCATGTTGGCAGCAAGGGCCTGGGGCAGGAGGGTGGGTCAGTTAACAGACAGAGTGTGGGAACACAGAGGTCGCTGCCCTCCTCCCTGACATTGGCCTGACTGTGGCTGCACAGCCCCCAAGGGCTGGGACTCTGGGTGGCAGCGGGCACAGGGCGGCCCAGGCATACACCTGCTGGGCTGTGGCTGCAGCCCTCTCTCCCCACCTCCTGTGAAGGGTGGCAGCCTTGGTGGGTGCCTGCCAGGACGTTCCCACTGATGGGTGCTGGTGACCAGAGCTGAGCCGTGAGGCAGCAGGCTGTGGTGGGCACAAGCTGAGGGGCCAGGGACATTGGGCTGGGCAGTGCATGCCACCCAGAGTATCTATAGCCTTTGGTCATTAGCCACCCTGGTCAGCAGAGATCTGATGAACAGACAGGTGGGCCAGAGACAGGGCACCCCCGTGGCTCTGAGAGGGAGAGGACTATGTCCACTCCAGTCCTATTCCTCCCTCCCAGGCCCCTGAAGATGAGCCAGGTCTGGGGCCCGCCAGCTGGCCAGGGCCTGTGGGAGGGGCCTTGGAGACCGTCTCCTCCACCCGTCTTGGCTGGACCTAAAGTTCTGAGAGATGTTTTGATCTTGAGCCAAGGGGTCCCTGAGACCTGCACAGGTGATACAAACCCTGAGGGAGCCAGTGGGCGCAGCAGGCACATGGCACACTGGAGGCAGGCCTTGCTTGGAGCCCGGCCTGGGTGGGTGGCTGGCCCTGGGTGGCCGGATAGCAGGCAGGCCCGGGCTTGCTTCTGGGGCAGTGCCTGAGAACAGCCTCCCAGGCAGCCCAGCCTGTGTGCCATAGGGCATCGTCCTCTTTGCCCCTTGGAAACCAAGGCTGCCACCACCCTTCTGGGACACCTCTGCCTCCAGGCCAAGCTCAGACCCATTTTCCCAGCTCTGCTGGGACCAGCATGTGGGCCTCTGTCTGTGAGGCCTCTTGCCTGGAGCGCTCATTCCTCGCTTCTGTGGGCCTGGTGTGTGATCCACCAGGAATTTCTCTCAAACCCTGTCCCTTAGCCGTCCCTCTCCTGCCTCCCTGGCCGCACTTTCTGTGTTTCTGGTGCTCAGGCCCATGTCCATTTCGTGGCTTCGACAGACCCCAAGGGTGGTGCCAGCGATTCGCCAGGGCCTCTGGGTTGACCCAGTGACTGAGGGGCTGGTGATGGGCAGCCACAGAGCAGGGCCCCAATGTCGCGGGTCCAGCGCCACCCACAGAGACCCCTTGGGGAGGGTGCTGGGCCAGGTGGAATGGCCCATTTCGCCTAGTGGTGTCCACCTGGCAGGATTCTGGACACCTCCTATCCTCCGCCTGCTAGAACCCCATAATTGTCTATTCTGCCTGCCCCCAGCAGGCTCAGCTCAGACCCTGCCCCACACTGCCTCCTGCATACACTGAGCGCTTCCCAGAGTCTTGGCAGCCAGTTGGGGCAGGGTGCCCAGGGCCGGGGAACGACCACAGGATGCATGAGTTAACCTGGGACCCAAACTGGGCCGGGAGAGGGGTTGTCCCACTATCCAGTCACCGTCATTGAATCCCCATGGTTTTTGAATGATCCCCCACCCTGCTCGGGTGCCACCCCACCCCAGCTGCTCCTGGGGCTGGTTCTCCCTCAGGAGGCTGATCTACCCTCCTGCCCTCCCACTTCTCACCTCCCTTTGTCCAGTGGCCTGAGGAAACCGGGTCTCTGTGCTTACCCTTTGGGTCCCTCCCTG